AGCTAAATCTGGGCAGTGTTACTTGAGTGCTATTGAAGAAGGAAAATTCCACTGTCTCACACTGCTTTGCCCCGGAACTGATAACAGAAAGTTATGACAAAATTCTAATCTGTATTAAAAAATCACGTTACCTTGAAAAGACCTTGTCAGGGCCAGTTCTATTAATCTTTGTTTAAAGAATAATAATGCTACTAACATACTTACCAAAATGACATTCTAAAATTGGCCTAAAATACACCCGTAGATCTACAACTACACTAAACAGCTAACACAAAATCTGCAAGCAACCACCAGAGCATCAGAGAGAATCATTCACACTCCAGATATTACAGCAACTTCTCAATTAGAATAATTGAGATACATAGCATAAAACAATAACCTAGTCCATCAAATGGCCTTGTGATAAACATCAAGATTGAACAAAGCAATTAGTATGCACAAACAAACAAATGAAAACAAACATGCAGTTATGAATAATGGAGTATTTTTCACATCTTTTCGTTTCTGAGCTCTCAGTTTCAACCTCAAGAAAGAGGTTTAAAATAAGAGGGGAAACTAAAATTCTTAAAGGCTATTGAGAACCAAAAGTTATGGAAGTATGGGCTGAGCAGCACATTAACTTCCCTCTCCCTGCCCTCCTCTACCAAGTGACTCCCCCTTTCCTTCAGAAGAAATATCCTTTTTTCCCCTGCTCCTACTCCATCCATCACAGGAGTGCTGCACCTGCAGAGATGATCGAACTTCTGAGGTAGTTAACTTCTAAGGAACTGTTTGTATTTTTAGCTTTAAAGTTTGCAGCTTCTATTTCATCCTTCAAGAATGACTAAAAAGTAAAAAAAAAAAAAAAAAATCATCTCTTTCCTACTTAACCTTACTTAAGTCTTAGGAAATTCCTCTTCTATGAGCCCTGCCTCACTTGTGTCCTTAGAAAATCACAAGTTATAACAATACTATTCCAAAATATTGATGTTTCTACATGGTAAGCCTAAGGAGGAGTGAACAGATAACTGGAATGCCACTGATAAGGTCAATCATATCAAAACAAGAGTAGTCAAGTTATTCCTTGCAGAACTTCCCATTTTGATTATTTTAAATTATTAAATTGCTTACAGCATGATGGAGGAAAACAATTTTGGAGTGTAAATCCCTCTCCCACCCCAACCATCCTCCAATCATGGCAGTTTAAATGTAAGAGAAACAGTTTCTATCCACAAAGCAGCAAGAAGCTACAGAAGGTGCTGATGTGCTGTGCAGCAGACACATTGCTAAAAATGGGGAAAGAATAAAAACAAGCCCAAATGGAGAGTGCTCCATTCTGGTGGGTTCACCCTGAAAGTCTCTTTGCCTTTCAGATGGTGCAGAAAAGTAATCAGAGTTATCAACACTAATCAGTGACTGCTGCATTTTGGATAACAATGGGAAGAAAATACTTAGACATCAGAGATAAAAAAAAATCAGAGAAGAGGGGGAACATGGACATTACCTGCAGGAACATAATTTCTCGAAATGTTCTCTAGAAATAAAGAAAAAACAGTTTATTATCATCTCAAGAAAAGAGAAGAACAGAATGCAGTTCAATGACAGGGTTAAATCCACTCCTCTTTTGTACATGCCATGATACACAAAGCTTGATATTTCTTATTTTTATCCCAATATAGCTGTAGATTGTATAATTATATATCCCAATATATGCAGACTGTGCATAATTATCTTTCAGAGACCAAAGTCCTGAAAATACCTATGGAATCCCACCATGTCTCAGAACACATCAGCACAGTAATTTCTCACCTGAGCATCTGTTCTGTTCCTGAAAGCATCAAAAATCTTTTTAACAGCAACTGTTTCTCCTGTCTGGCGGTCAGTTGCTCTCCAGACAATGCCGTAGGCCTGCAGAGAAGCAGGAACAGGTGAGCAGAGTGCTGGCACCTGCTGCAGCCCGGGCCTGGTGTGGAACCAGAACGTGCTCAGTGATGGACTGGAGCAGAGGTGATGGGCGCCACATGGAACACAGAGAGATTAGGCCAAGGAGACAGACTCAGGAGACACGCTGAGAGGGTTGGGGCTGTTCAGCCTGGGGTAGAGAAGGCTGCAGGGACACTTCAGAACTCCTTCCAGTGCCTGAAGGGGCTCCAAGAGAGCTTGGGAGGGACTTTGGACAAGGGCCTGGAGGGACAACACAAGTTGGAAGGGCTTCCCACTGCCAGAGGGTTTAGATGGAATTTGGGAATAAATCTTTCCCTATAATGGTGGTGAGGCCCTGGCACCAGTTGCCCCAAGAAGCTGTGGCTGCCCCATTGCTGGAAGTGTCCGCGGCCAGGCTGGATGGGGCTTGGAACAACCAGGTCTAGTGTAAGGTGTCCCTCCCATGGCAGGGGGAGGAAATGAACAGGCTTTTGAGTCTCTTGCAACCCAGAATGTTCTGTGGTTTCAGGACTCTGTATGGAGAGCAGGCCTGAGAGGGACTTGAGGGTGCTGGTGGATGAAAACCTGGCAACTGGCTGACAACATGCACTAGCAGCCCAGCCAGCCAACCACGTCCTGGGATGCACCAAGAGAAGGACAGCCAGGATTCCACAAACCAGGGGATCGGGCCTAGCTGGTGCCAGGCTGTGACAGGCAGGTCCTGCCTGACAGTCTGTGACAGCATGACCTGGAGGGCTGCATTGATGGGATGGGATGGATGGCCCATCCATCCCTGTGGTGCGTGGGTCAGCAGGGCCAGGGTCTTGCTCTTGGGTCACAACAACCCCATGAAACATGCCAGGCTTGGGACAGAGTGGCTGGAAAGCTGGAAAAGAACCTGGTGGTGCTGGTGACAATGGCTGAATGTGAGCCCAGGTGTATCCAGCTGGCAAGATGCCAGTGGCACCTGGCTTGTACCAGCCATGGTGTGGCTGGCAGTTCAAGAGAGATCGGTCTTCCCTGCATTTGGCTTTGGTGAGATTTCCAGCTGGAGCACTGCATCCAGCTTGGCGCTGCTCAGTACAAGAAGGACACAGAGCAGTTTGAGCAGCTGCAGAGAAGGGCCACGGAGACGCTGGGAGGGCTTGAGTCCCTCTGCTCTGGAGCCAGGCAGGGACACCTGTGCTGTTCAGTCTGGAGAAGGCTCCAAGGACAACTTACTGTGCTCTTTCAGAACTGAAAGGGGGTCAGTAAGATGGATGGAGAGAGACTTTTTACCAAAGTCTGTATTGACAGCATCCCAGAATTGTTGAGGTTGGAAAAGCCCTCCAAAACCACTGGGTCCAACCACTAACATAGCACTGTCAGGTCCAACACTAAACCTTTTTTTCAATTAAAAGCTGTGTTGTCTGTTAAGGGAACGGGAACTTCTATCTGAGGTTTCCCTATTCTGGATGACTGTGATACTTGCAAATGATGATTACTCAGTCTCACTTGTGGTATAGATCCAGTGTTTTTATTTTAGGCCATAGATTTTAATCTGGACTTTCCACAGCCTAGGAATTGTTATACCTTTGCACAAAGGGATCACATCCCACTCAAAAAATGCCCATTTAATGTTTAAGTACTTATCCAAAGCAAAATAACTGCAATGTATGATTCTAGTGATTAAACACTCATGTAAGGACACCAAAGCAGGCTTCCCAGCAACATGTGTGGTCCTGGAACTTGGCACCAGGACCTTTGCCACGCATCAGGCAATATAAACAGTTGTACAAGTACCTTGGGTAAGTGCTACAATACCACCCTACTGGCAACTGGGAAACAACCTCAAGTTGTGCCAGGGGAGGCTGAGGTTGGGTATTGGAAAAATCTCTCCTGCAAAGGGCTGTGCAGCTCTGGAACAGACTGCCCCAGGGCAGGGGGAAGTCCCCATTCCTGGGGGGAGTTAACAGCCACGTGGATGTGGCACCCGGGGACAGGGGGCAGTGGCAGCCTTGTCAGTGCTGGGAGAGTGGCTGGACTCCACAGGCTCAGAGGGCTTTTCCACCTCAGTGACTCCTTGACTCTGAACATAATGAGGGAAATACTTAAACATTTAAATACGTATCAACGCAATTAATGATAGCAAAGAGCTGCCGGAATAGAAAAGTAGATAACTCAGGAGGGCTTAGAGACTGCCTCAGGAGACATATCTTAGAAATTACCACTGGCTTATGTATAAAAATACATTTTATGGCGAAGACATTACTTGATGCAGCATGACCTGAAATGATGGGGTTACAGTAAATGTAGGATTTGGCAGGCACAGAAAGAATGTACTTTGAGACAGATACATGTTACTATTTAATTTTACAGTCCCCTGGAGCTCCCCTGGAGCTTCCAGCGGGCCCTGAGCGACAGAGTTCCCACGGACGCCTGAACTCCCAAATACCCCCTCAGCACCCCGGGGCCGCCTGGAGCCCTCACGGTGCCCTGAACGCCACACGGGCCTCCCGAGCTCTCAAGGGCCCTCCGAGCTCCGGAACCATTCCAGCTCCCACAGGGCACCCCAGCTCGGCCCGGCCCCGGCCAGGCCAACCCCCGCCAGGCACTCACCCCCTTGCCCAGCCGCCTCTTGATCTCGTATTTGCGGCACACGAGCGGCTCCACCTCGGGCGGGCTCATGGCGGCACCTCCCTGTTGGCACCCGCTGCCATGGCAACGGCACCGCGCACCGTGCATGCGCGCACCGCCGCGGGGCGCGGCAGGCGGTGCCGAGAGACCGGGAGCTGAGGGAGGAGAAGGAGCGGGGAGAGGTGAGGCGAGAGGAGAAAAGAGAGAGAGGAGAAAAGAGAGAGGAGAGAGAAGTAAGGAGAGAGGAGAAAGGAAAGAGGAGACAGGAGACAGGAGACAGGAGACAGGAGAAAGGAGAAGGAGCAGGGAGAGCCCCTTCCAGGACTCTGGGAGAGCCGGAGAGAGGTTTGGCACACGGGCCTGGAGGACATCGCAAGGGGAATGGCTTCCCACTGCCGGAGGGCAGGGATGGGATCTCGGGAAGAAATCCTTCCTTGGGAGGGTGGGCAGGCCCTGGCACAGGTGCCCAGAGCAGCTCTGGCTGCCCCTGGGTCCCTGGCAGTGCCCAAGGCCAGGCTAGACGGGGCTTGGAGCAGCCTGGGAACAGTGGAAGGTGTCCCTGCCCTGGCAGGTTGATGGGACTGGACAAGCTTTAAGGTCCGTTCCAAGGTAAACATTCCGAGATTGAATTATACTTCTTTGGTTTTTTCCCCCGTGAATTTTGATTCTTCCTCCCTACCCCTCCCCCCCCTCCCCTTTGACACTTTTCAGTGAGAGTTAACACTTTTGTCATGTTCTCTAGAGCTTTGCTTTTTACTTTGTGTTTTATAGCAGATAGAGAAGATTTCTGATCCATGTCCAAATTAGATGGTTGAAATCAAAATTGACAAGCTGAACGCACTCACTAGATACTATGTTGTGACTTTTTTAAAGTGAGGATATGAATATGATTTAGTGTAATGGATTTGTATGACTGTAAATGTTTCTTTGAGATTCGACTTCAGTTTTATTAGTGAACTGGCATCTTCAGTCATGCAGGGATTTGGATTGCTGGTGTATGCTTCCCTCACTGACATAATGCATTTTTTGTGGAAGTTTCCTTTATATAATAATGAATTCTGACTCTTACAAAGAGACTTATTCCTCTCAGGCTATGATTTTTAAGAAATTGCATTCAGTTTAGTTTTAAATGTTAATTTAGGATTCCTGAAGGAACTCACTAATTCCTTTAGGCTGTATTGTTTATGTCTAACAGGATACATTTATCAGCCTTATCCTGCTCATAGAGACATAAAATGTGTGTGTATGCACTTAGCAGCAGACACCGAAGTTCAAGTCTGAGTTGTGACAATTGTTGATTAGATTGTGGACAGCTGGGGACAATTGTGACTTAGTTGTGTTGTCCTGTGGATGATGGCGATGAGAAGAACCCTTGTATGAGCTTATTGTATGAGCTTATTCTCAAGTTTCTATTTCTGTATTAATTTGATGTTTAAATTTTATTTAGAGAGGACACTTTAGAGATGAAACTTTAACCTATTGTAGTAAAATTTCCTGGATTGTTAAAGATTATGCATTTTAGAGCAGGATTTGTGTGGTGACTTTTCTGTTTTTTTTTTTTTTTTTCCTGGGTAAGCCTTTAAACAGTCCAGAAAATATTTCTGTATTTAAATATATTGAACTAAGTAAGAACAATACAATCTAATGTTTTCACACCTGTTGGCTGTTTATTAAATACCATCATGGAGAGGGGGTGGGTGCTAATTTACACTTTCATTATATTTTTCATTCCTCTTACATTATTTGAGTCTTGTCTGTTGAATAACTGTATGAAAATATTAAATAAGTAATTCTCAGACATTTATGCTGAAAGCTTTTCCATGAGAATCTTGAGTGTTTCTGTCTTCTCCAAACGCTTCAGTTCCTTCTGATTGCATATGGCATTTGCAGACTCCAGATAAAAGCTCTGTTCTCCGTTAGTAATTCCCAAATTACTAATTCTCACACAGATTTAGCTGACAATCAAGGTTAAAAACAACTTCTCAGAAGTAGAAGACTGTTCAAGTCTGTGCTGTCCTATTTGACAAAAGAGCATGTTACTTAAAGAGCAGCATGGATTTATCTAGGGAGCGACTTAAGAATTTTTAATTCATTTTTAAATTTTATTTTGTTTAGGTCATTTTTAATTTAGTCTACTGAGTGAATAAGGATGTTATGCAGTGTCAATCTAAGTCTATTTTGTAAATTAAGTGAGGTAAATGCTAGTGCTAGCTTTTTATTATATGCAATGAAACAGGAGCCACTGTGTAAAGCAATGTATTTTGTATTGCAAAACTCTGGATACTGACCTCAAATATACTGCTTTTATAACTTGCTGATGTCTAATTTTAGTCTAGTAGGGAAAAATCCCAGTTTCTTCATCTAATCTATATTTCATTTATAGGAACCAGCATTTTTTCTTTTCTCATTTGCTCAGAAAATATGACTCAAACCCTGAAAAAGCAAATATATTCCAGGTGGAGCACATGGAATGTCTGAAGAATTACCAGAGTTGAAAAGCTGTGTCCCTTACGCTTAGTCACTTAAATCCAAATCTCCCTGTAAATATCATGGCTTGAAGTGTCCAAATGCAAAATAATTAATTCCAGGCAGAATGCTGGTTTCTATCTGCTTAATTTCACTATTTGAACAGTCTGTGCCTTCAAGTTTGTTGTATTTTTAAGTCCCTGAATAGCAAAAACTATGATCCTGACAGGCCTGATTAAAATTCAATGTTAAAATATTCAGACACTGATATTTATTCCAAAATACACTATACAGTTTTAACTATTTCCTATAATTGAGTCTCAAATCTTGAAAAGGAAAATTAATGTTTATGTTTTTAAAAATAAAATAATTTAAGCAGTTTCAGGAGTGGAAGATCAAAACCTAAGTTGTAGGGAAAGTACAGTGGTCTGTTACTGAGAAAGCTCCAGAATTGTTTTGACTTTGATTTTTCTTACAGGCTGACAATCTATAGCATTTATCTGACAACAAGAATTGAAGACAGTGATTGCAAGATACATAAAAAAAGATCTGGCCTGAATGGCTGGTGCCTCATATATTTGTGTTTGCACTGTCAGATGCATCTGTGCCAAGGGCTGTGCCATTTAAAATAGTTTGTATATTTTAAAATATTATTGTATTTTATTACATATATTATAATCTATATTTATATATTAAAGTATTTTATATATTTAAAATGTTTCTATATTTTGAAGTAAACTTCAGTGCGTATCAGCCCACAGTTTCTCCACACCTGGGTGGCCGTGCAGGCTGCTGCCGGTGTTTTCTCACCTGTCAGTGCAGGTACAGGGCCTGTGGGCAGCATTGAGGGGAGATACAAGGAGGATTTATTTTTCTTCAATAATCTCACACAGGCCTCCTAAACTTTAGGAATGTTACTAGTAACTCTTAGAGAATTACAGAAGCAGGTTCTGTAGCTGAGAATCTTTTTTGTACACTAGCCTTAATAAACAGAGTATGTACCATACAAAAACACCATGAAATCCATGCTGAAGCTTTTGAGCATGAAATGCAGGTGCTTGCTGAGGTCCTCACACCTTTACAGTACTGTTTATGTGTGAAGGGTGCAAGGACCAACTCAAAAGCTTTATTTTCTTTGCCTAAAGTTGTAAACCTATTTACAAACATTTGATGAAAAAGCTGTAACATACATTATTTATCTTAGTTGCAGAATGCAAGCTCCTAGCTTTGCTTTTTTTGCAAGATTTTTCTCTTTTATCTTGGAGGAGGAATCACTAATGTACTGAATTCAGATCCTCTGAATTCTGCTGGCTGGTATCTGTCTTGTGTAATTTACTACATAGTGAATTTAGAGTTCTGAATAGATCTATTTGCCTTGTTGCAGGTCATACCAAAACAACCGCTGGAATGTTTGTGTAGAATAACAACGGAAAGTATTTTTTTCACTCCTAAATTTGGAACGAAAACAATCGTGTGTATCTGTATAATTTATATACAGTCATCAGTATACAGGACTAATTGCCCAGAGAATAAAGCCATTGCAAGTGCCTGAGCCCGCCCTACTACACAGCTGGTGACAAGTATCTTGTGCATTTCCGTACGGAAAACGCGTTTGTCCTGCACAAACAACACGTACGGGTTGGATATCCGCAGGCTAAATAAAATAAATCCGGAAACAATAAAAAAACCGGGCGCTTTAAAATCCGAACCCGGCCAGGCCCCGCCCTGGCCAGGTCCCGCCCCACCAAGATGTCGGCAGCGAGCGGGCGCTTCTTCTGCACGGCGGGCCGCGGGCTGGAGCCCTTCCTGGCGCGGGAGGTGCGGGCGCGGCTCGGCGCCACCGAGGTGAGCGGGGAGCCGGAGCCGCTGGGCACCCGGGCGGTCCTGTCCGGGTGAGCGGGGAGTCGGAGCTCGTACCTGCCAGGTCCGGTCCGGGTGAGTGGGGAGCCGGTGCCTCCCCGGGCGGTCTGGTCTGGTCCGGGGGAGCCGGAGCCGGTGACCACCTGGGCGGTCCTGTCCGGTCCGGGTGAGTGGGAAGCTGGAGACGGTGACCACCCGGGCGGTCCGGTCCGACTCAGCAGGGAGCTCGGCGCCCGGAGCCCGGCGAGCACGGCCCGAGCTGTGCCGTTCTCCGCCACGGCGGGGCTGGCCGGGGTCGGAGGGGCTCACCCGTGGGGGTCGGGGCTGCGCTGCCCGCGGGGCTGGCCGCGGTCCGAGGGGCACCGGGAGGGTAGCAGAAGGGCTCACCCGGAGCCGCCCGGCCGGGTCCGACGGGTGTTCTCCCCGGAGGTGGACTGCGTCTCGGGAAAAGTGTTCTTCAGGGCGGCGGCGGGGCTCGGAGAGCTGCGGCAGCTGCGGTCGGGGGAGCGGCTGTTCCTGCTGCTGAAGAAGCACGGCCCGCTGCCAGTGTCCGGGAGCCGAGGTACGGACACGGGCTGCACGGGAACGGGAAGCCTTGGTTTGAGCCCTGATTATAAAATTGGAGGCGTTTGGTTTTTTACTAGTGGCTGTAGTTCTAATTGATAGTAATCGATTCTGAAGTGTCTTTCACCTACGTGTGTTTTCAACATTTTTTTTTTTTTTTTTCTGAAAAGGGCTTTTAAATTGTTTTCAATAACTACCTTCCAGCCTGTTTTCTGCTGGCCCTAAGTATATATGTGTGTTTTAGAGACTCTCTCCCCTGCCCGGCCCCAAAAAAGAGAAGAACACTCCACCCGAAAGCCAAAGTTTAGTTCTGGATCTCTTGTGTTTATTTTAACAATATTTCTTATTTTCTGTTAAACTAAGTAAATCTCAACTTATATCTTGTGTCAGTTTACTTAAGTACACAGCTTCCTTCTAAGTCTCAGCTGCTTGGGTCATGCTCTCTGTCAGTGCTGGAGAATTTCAAGTTAGATAGATTGATATCTGCCTGCTGGTGGATTTCTATTTGGAAGATTACCTTCAACTTTGAGGATGAAATTTGATAATGATTCTAAAATTTTAAGTGAGAGCTGGAAAGACCCTTTATTTTTTTCACCTTGACCAGCTTTGATGTATGTAAGTGAATTGACCTCTCTGTTAGGACTGCCCACATGTGAAGGCACAGTGATGAATGGGAAGCAGAAGTTTTCTTTCTGAAAGAATAAAATTGGTTTTGCCTGAGATGACTCAAAGTAATTCATGTTTGTATCTATCTTTCAATTCTGGAAAGTGTCCTGCACCGCTTAATCCTGGGCTAAGTGCTTTCTGGGGAGGGTGGCATGGTAGGCTGCTGCTCTGTGCCTGGGAATGACTCTCACAGGTGCTTTTTTCTCCAGCTGCTAATTCTTGTACAGAATTCAATCCTGGTGTGATTTAGTCTTGGTTGTGCAGAGCTGGTAATGAGAGGGGTGCCTGTGTGTCTCCTGGTGGGTGCTGAGAGCTCACCTGTGCCTGTGATTCTGGAGTCATACATTATGAAGTCTGAACACAGCTGCTGTGAACAGCTGTTCTCAGCTCCTATGGAAGTGAAGTGCGGAGGCTGAGGTACTTAACCCAAATCTGATTTTTTCTTCCAGGAAAAATGCTTAATGAGATTAAAAGCCTTGTCATTGAGGACTCAAAATACTGGCTGGATATTATCTCTGTTTGGAGAAAGTTTCATGGACACAAGGGGAAAACAGACAATAGCTCTCAAGAAAACACATCGGCTCTGAAGAGAAAGTCAGAAGAAGAGACAAATACTGCAAGTAAAAGGCAAAAAACAGAGCAAGTGAGAGCAATTGTGTCTGAGGAGTGTCAGGTGGGAGCTGGAGAAACCTGTGAGTCATCAGACAGAATGAACAGACAGGAGTGCTGGATTGAGAGCAGGACTTCCTCAGAATTCCCTTCCAGAGGCAGTGGAGAGGATCCTGCTGCCAATGAGGAGCTCAGCTTCAGAGTGTCTTGTCGTTGCAGTGGAGCAATTGCCAGAATACTGACTTCACAGGTATGCTGAGGTACCTGCTTTAAAAGAATTCAGCAAGGGTGAACAGGGATGTGTAGTTTATTTGTCATTTCAGTTGTGTTGTGTCCTCTGGAATAATAAACTGATGTAAGCTTTTTCTGTATTTTCTCAAAAAGCCCTTAACCTGCATTCCCCTTAAACAAGTGGAAATACAAATGCTGTTTTTAATTTCTGTGCACTATTGCCCTTCATGTTTTTCAAATCAATACCTTTTGTTGAGGATAAGCAAAGGTAACAGTCTGAGGGTCTGGGCCTGTGGAGGCTGAGGAGTGATTGGATAATTTACAGCTACTTGAAGGGCCATTGTAAGGATCATGGGGCCAGACTCCTCTCAGTTGTGGCAGTCTGGACCAAGGGGTAAAAGCTAGAACTTGCAGCTTCAGTTGTCTCTGGTTGGGTATTGGGGAAGATTTGTTCTTCAGGAATACAGTCCTGGGATGAGTCCTGGGAGAAGTGGAACTTGGTCCTTGCGAAAGAATAATGGCATACAGTCCTCCATAGGTCTGTTCTGCCCAGTCCTCTTCCCATCTGGGCAGGTTTCTCCTAATTGAAGGTTTTTAGATTTTTTTCCTACTAAGGCTAGTACCTTGGTGAGGTGAGACATGTGAGCTTCCCTACAAAGGTGTTTGCCTGAATTTGTGCTCTATTTGAACTTCTACTCTGAAGGTAATCAGAGCTTCCCATATGTAATGAAAGCATTAAAACTGTGAGGTGTAGTTGTGCATTTGCAGTTAATCTGCCTTACTGCCATTGGAAGTATTTTGTGCATGTGATTAAAAGTTCCAGAATGATGGCAGTCACAGAATATTCTGAGTTCGATGGGACCCACAAGGATCAAGTGCAGCTCAAGTGAATATTTTGTTGTGACTCAGTCAGGACTGGAACTTCAGCCTCTCCTCTCTCACTGCAGCTGAGAGTTGCTTGTTTGCCATGTGGTGTGTTTGCTTTGGCCCTCACTCACTTGCTCCGCCCTGTTGTACCTTTTCTGCTGTGAATTGTGTGAGTTACTCTCTTAGGCATAGACTATTTTCTCTAGAGTTTCTGAGGGTTGCATATCCGAGGCTGTACCCTGCAGTTTCCCAAATTCTGTGTTTTTTTACCATCTGTGACTGTTCTCCCCCTCATAGGAGGTCGGAAGAGCCATTGGCATGGCACTGGTGAAGCAGTGCGGGTGGCATGCTGATCTGCGGGACCCTGACGTGGAGGTAGGGCTACTTGTATGCCTGTGGATGCTTCCAGAGTCACTCCAATTGGTTTTGTTCCCTGCTCCCTTTGCACGTGGGATCATGGCCTCTCCCTGCTGGTCTTTCTGCCACTGAATTTACCTGGAAATCAGCTGGTGGTGCTGAGCAAAGTGTGTGTGGCCCTGGTGTGTGTGTGTGTGCCTTCCAGAGCTCTGGCATGAATCCAGCCTGTCTGTGGGGCCCATGTGGGAAGGGAAGGATCCTTAGAGGGGTTTCAGGATCCAGCACCCTCACAGACTGCTGAGCTCTGACTGTGTGAACATGGAACTCATCTGAGCCATGGGCTGCCTGTGGATGGATCCCCAGAGGAGGAGGATCCAGCACCTGACAAGGCTGCTGGACTCTGTGTAAGAATGGAACTCACCTGAGCCATGGGGTGTCCATGGAAGGATCCCTAGAGGAGGAAGATACAGCACCTGACTAGGCTGCTGGGCTCTGTGTAAGAATGGAACTCACCTGAGCCATGGGGTGTCTGTGGAAGGATCCCCAGAGGAGGAGGATCCAGCACCCTCACAGGCTGCTGGGCTCTGACTGTGAACATGGAACTCACCTGAGCCACGGGTTGTCTGTGGCCTCTAGAGGGGAGGGAAGTAGGAAGCATGGGCTGTTCTCAAGGAGCTGGACTGGAGAATGCCAAAGGAAGAGCCTCCCCCAGGCCTGTCTGTGACAAGCAGCTCCCTTACTGCAGCCCAGCTTGTCCCCAGACACCTCCCAGAGAACTTGCTCCTGACAAAGAGCATTTGTTTCTCCAGGGATGTTTGTCCATCCCTGCTCTTGGCTTGTGGAAGCTGCTCTCAGCTGTGATGTTGAGAGATCCCAGACCAGAAACTCTGGGTTTGTTTCTTGGCACTGGTTTTCCCACACTAAACACTATGTATAGCTTTGGTGAGACTCACGTACACCTCCTGTTCTTGCCCAGATTTTTTCTCTGAAGCTGTTCAGGTGCTGGGGACTGGGATTTTGCAGCAATATCGTGTTTCCCTTTGTGCTTTCTCTGGTCAGGGATTGCAGTTACCTGCTGGGGAGCTCAGTCTTCTTTTGGGATGCTCTCTATGGGACAGCAGAACAATTTCTTTGTAGCTGCCTGCATTTCTGGAATGATTACTGACACGTAACTTCTATCTGAATTGCCCCTTAGTAGCAGTAGTGGGGGTAACAGTGGGGTTATTTGTTGTTGGTGTTGTCTGTTTTGGGTTTTTTTGTTTGGTGGGGTTTGGGGTTTGTTGTTTTGGTTTTTTTTGGTTTGTTTTTTTTTTTTTTTTTTTTTNTTTTTTTTGATGGTTAGATTTTTTTTGTTTGGGTTTTGTTTTGGTTTTTTTCATTTTTATTTATTTTGTGGCTAGTACACAGGGAATAATTTCTCCCACTTGTAGTAAATGGATTTATAATTAAAAATTCTCATGCTCTGTTAAGAAAAAATAGCCTCCCTTATGAATTCAAGTGCTTGCTGATGGATTCCTGGCTGACAAAATCCCTTTCAACTTGATTAAGCATTAGATAATCTTTAAAGTGGCATTCAGATAATCTAGTGGGATTTCTTTCAATTCATTATTATTGTTTATAGTGTCCATTCTTATTCTTAAAAACTGAAATGAGAAGTTTGTAGAAGCATCTGTGTCTGGGTTAAATGAGTTAAAGTTATTGTTTTGTCAATCTGAGACTTTAAAATATTTGGGTTGATTTTTCTGTCCTCTTTTAGATCTTTGTACATCTTAATGACATTTACTCTGTGGTGGGGATTCCTCTTTTCAGGTAAGTATTCTCCCCACCAGATTTGTCCTGGCAGTATCAGACCAGGCAGGATTTGTAAATCTTGCTGTCCACCATGAGTATTTATCTTTTGGTTTGGTCATCACTGCTGTCAAATTAGTCTTGTGATCTGCCTGGGTTTTAAATGAACACACAGAGCAGGCTTGGCAGTTGCCAAAGACCACCCTAGGTCGCGGGGTGGCTTCATGTGGTGGAAAAACTGCTCCTCCAACCCATGCTTCCAAAGAAAGGCTCAGTGGTCTCTTGTTTTCCGGTTTCATGGTTGTTTATTGCAAGTTATCTAAAAGATTTTCTTCTTGGGCTGCTGCGGTTTGCTCAGCAGCTCAGGCAAAGGCACACACACCCCTGACATCCTCTTTCTCCCATCTTCTTCTCTCCCCCTGCCCCTGGGCAGCTGTTATCTTTATGTGGTTCATTATGTGTTACATGTTTACAGTTTTTCCCCAATACCTACTACCTATATTAAATGGTGCTCTTCTACTCTAAACCAGTCTGTGAGTGCCAACATCACCAAGAACATGGAGGTAAGGAAGAAGAAAGAGGGAGGACAGGACAGGCCCAGATCCCTCCATCTTAAAACTTCTGACCCCCATGTACAAAACCAAAAGCCCCCTGCACAGGACTTAAAACCCCCCTGTACAGCATTCAGAAATTCTTCCCTTTACTTTGTGACTACTTCTACTAAAACATCTAAACTTTTGCGACTTCTTATTCTTCCTGCAAGGTTGGTAAATCATTCCATGTCTCAAATCCAAAATCACAGCTGTTTCCAGCTGCCTGCTAGGGTCTCAAATGCTTCTGACCTAGACCCAGAACCTTCAAAAATGTCTGAGGGACATTTTGAGTTCCGACAAGCGGTGAGTTATGGTTAAAAGCAGACTTCTCTGTCTCTCGGGAGATCTATTCGGTTCATTTGTTCCTTGACATTACATGGGCTTTGCTGGATGGTTCTGCTGCTGTTTAAGTTAATTATTTTGGTTTTTTGTTGTCTGCAGGCTGCCATTGGCAAACAGAGAGTATATCAGAACAGCAGGACTGCGGTCAACAGTGGCATGGGCCATGGCATCTCTGGCTGAAATCAGGGTCAGTGAATGTTCCTTGCCAAGAAATGGGTCCTGAATGAAGGAAGGGGGTGCTGCTCATGGGGGCTGGAAAGGAGTGGGGCAATTACAATGCCTGATTCACTGGAATGAATCTCCTTTCATTGGCTGGAAAGGAGTGGGGTGATTTCAGTGCCCCATTCTCCCCATTCACTGGGAAGGAGCAGGGTGATTTCAGTGCCCAATTCTCCCCATTCACTGGGAAGGAGTGCGGTGATTTCAGTGCCCCATTCCCTAGTGCATGTGGACATGGTCTGCCATGCCTGTGAGGAATGTGCTGTCACCTGCAGTTCAGCCAGGTGTGTGCTGTAATTCCAGGTGCTTCTCAGCAGAGTTAATCCTTGGACAGGTACATGTCTAAGTGGCAAGATTTTTTTCTGCTGTTCAGTAATAATGAGAAAATGAAACCTTGTTTGGTGTTGTTTTCCAAGGAAATGTGACCTCTTTTCACAGATTAATTTTGGTACCAATGTCTGTCTGCAGTCCACTTGTAATATTTCCTCTTGACTGTCTCCTCAGGGCTGTCTGCAGTGAAGCTATTGGTGCTTTTTACCATATTCCCTAACAGGCAAGTTTGGCCTGGGATTACCAGAGAATATCATTAACCTTTTCTGGATTCAGTGGGATTATGCACATCCTATGTGATTGTTAATCTGTGCTGGATTCAGTGGGATTGTGCACATCACACTGGGATTGTTAACCTGTGCTGAGTTCAGTGGAATTGTGCACATCCCTCTGTGAGCTCTGTCCTGAGGAGTCTGTCTTGCTGGGGACGCAGTAACCCCTCTGTTTCTGCAGGCTGGTGCCCTTGTGCTGGATCCCATGTGTGGGCTTGGAATGATCCTGCTGGAGGCTGCCAAGGAGTGGCCCGTGAGTATCCCAGTCCTAGCTTCTGGACCTCTGCAGGGAAACTGGTACTTGTGGGACAGGGTTTTCTCTCTGCCAGTTAGGCCAAAGCCCATTGCTGGCTAGAAAGGTGAAACCAAACCAATCTTTCTAGGCAGCTGCTAGAAGTGTTTCAGTGCAAAGGTTCCCCCAGATGAACATGTCCTGCAGGGTGGGTGCAGCTGGTGATTCCCACTGCAGAGTTTGTGTGAGGCAGCCACAAGCTTGTGAAGCTTCCTGGACTTGTCCTGGGGTCGGAGGAGTTGGTATCATGGGACACTTGTCAGCGTTAGGGACAGTGGGGCTGGCTGTATCTAGCTGGGGTCGTGCTCTTGATATTTCTATCATTTCAAGTGTCTTGAGTAGACCAGAACATTAAAGGAGTGGAGACAGCACATACCTCTGAACATTAATATTTCTGAACATTAAAGGTGTGGAGGCAGCATATACTTCCTCTGTTCCTCTAGTGTCTGGATTGTGAATTGCTCTGTGTAACAACAGCAGGTGTCCCAGGAAGGGGGCTGCCTTTCTAGAGCTGTGCAACAAGGCAGTTCTGAGAAGGGTTTATAAAATAAGTATCTCGAGTGTTAACAAAATTACTCCTCTCTTTCTCTGGACAGGAAGCCTATTACTGGGGTGCTGATATAAGTGACTCACAGTTAGAGGGTGCAGATGGCAATATCAGAGCTGCAGGTTTCATGGACAAGATTGAGCTGCTGAAAGCTTCTGTGAAAGGTATGTCTGTAGGCTTTCCAGGTGATTTTTTTCTGTTTCTGGCATTGTACAGGTAGGTTCTCTTGAGGTGATCTGTTGCGGAGCTAACTCCCAACAAATACCTGGGTGGTAGCTCTGGTGGTGGTGCTAGTGAAGGGATAATTATTTGTTCTTCCTCCCTGCTGCCTGCACCTGGAACTTTGATAAGAATGAAGTCAGCAGAGGACAATAAAAATTACAACTGTCTGGCATGGACAGTAGTCTCTCTTCATGGTAAATGTGTGATTTACCACCACAATACCACAAAGAGTATGAGCCATGTGAGTGTTCTTTGTATCTTAGTGGAACACAGCCAGAAAATCCAAATGAAATGCAGCCTGTAGCTTAAATTTACTAGGTGAGTAATGGTGAGCACTCATTAAGCTGAGCTGAATTGCTCATGTTTTGCAGTAGGAGTATTTTGAATGATGATGCTTTTCTTCTCTAAGAGGGAATCTGTTTGCTTTTTATTTACAGGCTAGTCTGTAGAGAAGGGATCATTTCATGACCTTATTCTGGACTTCAGAGGCTAAATTATGCCTATATGAAATCCATGACAGGCAGGCAAGCTGGATGTTTTTCCCTGTGCACGACTGATGAAGTGCACTTTTTTCTTTTTTTTTTTTTTAACCTTGCAGTATTTATTTCTTACTGGAATGATAAGAAATTTTTTTTTTTTTTAAATTAAAGTGTAGGTTTATTTCTCTCTTAAAAGCTGTGCTTGACTTTGGTTTCTAGGATAATGGAAGGTACTTGGCTGTCAGTTTTCTAAACTGAACAAGCTGGTGTCTTCATCACTGGTCAGCAGCTGTTACTTCTGCATGTCTTGAGCAGGGCTGTAGGTGATGTGTCCTTTCATCTGCAGATAAAATTGATACCCAGTTGTGCTGCAAGTGTTGACCCAAGAATGGTCCAGGAAGCATCTCCAGCTAGTTGTAGAAAAGTTGGCATAGAATCTCAGCAGAGTTTTGGTGAGGAAGGACTGTTGGGAGTCTTTAGTCCTGCTGTCTGCTCAGGGCTGTGTCCAGTCAGTTTGGAGCACCCTGAGAGATGGAGGGACCCCCAGGATCTGAGGAGAGGGTCTCAGCCTGGCCTGCACAGCCTAGCACAGGATGGAGGGACCCCCAGGATCTGGGGAGGGGTCTCAGCCTGCCTGCACAGCCTGGCATGTGGCTTACCTTCATCACCACAGGCACAGTGCTGCATCTTCCTGAGGGGAGCTGACCTCAGCTGGGAAGCGGAAGCTCTAAGGTGACACTTCAATGGCACGAGCTCTGACAGAAACCAAGTGATGCTGGCTGTAACCAGATTCCTGGGGGGAGATAAGGGGGATGGAGAGGCATTTGGGGTGATTCCTTGCCGTACGTACATGTGCACTTGAACATTTGCACTGAGTAAAGTGCTCACAAACTTAGCTCTTCTTTTGTGTTTTCCTGAATGATTTTCATGTTGAAAATGTGCTGAGTGTTGAGAGGCCACAGTTAATTTGGGACCATGTAGTGCCCTATAGGAGAGTCTTGCTGCAGGGGCAGACATCCTCAGTAGTGGAGACTCTGCATACTGAACCGTGCTGCCTCACATTTGTCTCCTCCCGGTCTGCAGACGGGTGGTGGCTCCATGGTGGAGTTTCTGAGGGCAAGTGCAGAAGGAGCTGTGCACACCTGCATAAACCAAAATGTGGGTTATGTGAATCTGCATAACCCAAACAGCTGGCAGGCAGTATTGAAGGGGGAACAGGGGCATAGCTGCTGTGCATTTTTCACACAGTCAGGGATAAATAAAGACCTGCCTTTATTCTGCAGCACTGCCATTGCCTTCAGAAAGCTTTGACAGCGTTATTTCAGATATTCCATTTGGGAAGAAGTTCAAGACCACAAGTGATGCCCAGTTCCTGCCAGATATTCTCCAGGAAATGGAGAGGTATGTGTGGCCTTTGGCACGCTCAGGGTTTGATGGAAGTGCCATGGCAGTTTGTGATCTGAGCATTCAGTCAGTTTCAGATCTGCTTTATTCCATAGTCTCCAGCTCTGTAGTGTGACCCTGCAGGCTGTGGCAGTCTCGGCCCTTTACTTGTCCCTTGGAGGCTGTTGTGTTGTGTCTCACCAGCAGTGAGTGCTGATAGCAGCACAGCTTCCAGGGGAGGATCCTGTGTGAGCCATGCTCACAGATGCTCTTTGCAAGGCATGATGGTGGAATGTTTCTGAGCCACACTTCAAAGTGTGGCAGAAAGAAGAAAGAGGAGAGGCTTACCAGGACAAAGTTAAAGCATAGCCAGGCAAATTAAGCTATAATCATTTTTCAGCTGAGGCCTGCATGTATAAAATCATAGTCTTTCCTTTTTGAGGTCACAGTCAAGCTTTGACCAGCCTGCCTTGGCAGGAAGTATCTCAGACAAGAAGTAGTATGCATTGTCCTTGCTGTCCAGAAATGCCTCATTAGCAGCCTGAGCTGGTTTTAGGTGTGTTCTTTCATCTGTCACCATGTCATTTTGTGGCAAAGGTGGGCCAAGATGATAGTTGGGCTGCTTCTAATATACAGGTCAAGCCATCTTTCCCTCTACTTCTTGCCTGAAAAGAAGCCTGTTCTCTAGGACTGCTCTTCAGTGGGTGTTGATCTCATTCAGCCAATGCAGGAAGGTGGTGGAGAAGGTGGCATGGCTTCACGCAGTGATGTGGCAATCTTACCGTGCTTGTCTTCTGGCCTTATTTGCTCTGTTGGTCCATCCTAAGTAAAATATTCCCTTTGGAAGGTGGAGATGAGGAAGGGGCCATTACCATGAGAGCTTCATCAGTAAAACTGTACAAACCACTTGCTGTAAACTGAGTCGGGACAGTATTTTTTTCCCCTCTTTCAAAGCCATATGTAATGTTAGGACATATACCTAGAAAAATTAATTGTAAGCAATGGTTAATTTTCCTCTGCTTCCTGAGTTTGCAAGGCATTAAGGATCAGTGGAACAGGGAAAGGGCAGACCTTTTAAAGTTTCCAAAAGGAAGGGCCAGTTTCAGACTTGCCCTACTAATCTGAGCAGCCCTTGCTGCACTGGGAGGCAAGGGTTCCTTTGCAATCTCCAAAAACCCTGGGCTTGATGGTTTCAATCCTTGGAACAATGCTGAGGGGGGTAAAAAAGAAGTCCCTCTTCCCTGCTAACCCAATAGAGAGAACTGCTAACATCAGAAATGTTTTGGAGTCAGGACAGGGTATTATGTTCTCCCATTTAGAAAGAGGTAGGAAGATCTGGGATTTAAATTCCCCTTGGAAGTGCAGCTCACTGAGCTGAGCTGTGACATGTTCAGGTGTTTCATTGAATGCAGGTGGCATCTGAAGTGTCAGCAGTGGCAAAGTTCTGCACAAGCAAAAGGATGCCATGAGGGATCAACACCTAACCTTTCTTTTTCCTGTGATTGCCAGAGTTCTTCGTGTTGGAGGGACCCTGGTGTTGCTGCTGAGCCAGGAGCTCCACAAACACGTGGATGGTTTGACCAGGTGTGCAGGAGCTGACCCTGCTGATGGTGACAGTGGAGCAGTCCCTGCACGAGCCATGGATGGTTTGACCAGGTGTGCTGAAGGTGCCTCTGCTGATGGTGACAGTGGAGCAGACCCAAGCGTGGATGGGAATTTGTCTTCCTTGGCACAGGGAGGTGGAGAACCCATTATCTGCAGACATTTTGGGTCTCTGCTGCCAGAGGATGTCTATGCCATTAGCCTTGGCAAGACTGATGCTTTCATACACAAATACAGGAAGGTGTCTGCTGCTGTGAGCAGCAGAACTGGGACTGGGAGCTGTCCCAATACTGGGACACTCCCTGGAACTGGGAGCTCTGGGCTGAAGGAACTTGAATCCTGAGAGGCTTCAGGAGCAGCAGGGCAGGACTCAGAGGAGCTCTGCTGATGCAGACAAACCCACTGCCATCCCTTAGATTGCCTCACATTCTGCGGATGTCCCAGGGCACTGTGCTATTCTCTCCTTAGTTTTTAGGAGAGGTGGAAGATGCCAGTTCTACTGTATTGGATACAGTGAAAGAGGATATAGTCTGTTGTAATGTGGCAGAGTCCTCAAATCCTTGTTTAGGCAAAGCTGCTCAGTATTGGGAGGAGTTTCTGTGGGAGAGAAAGTCTTTATTTGCAGAACTGCAAATCACATGTGGTAGCCCATGATCTTCGGGCTGCCCACTCCAGCTATTAATTTTAAAGTAATATTTACAGCTTTGTCTGTTCTAACTATTCTTAGTGTTCAGGTTGTTCTTAGGTGGAGGATAGGCAAGCCCCCTGAGATGCTGAGCAGGAAGGGAGGACAGAAGGAGAAGAAGCAGCACTGACAGCTGGAGCTACAGTTGCAGCCAGTCCTGGGCCCTGGGCCCCGACTGTTTTGTGTGTCCTGCGTCCTCCCTACCCTGCCTCTCCCCCTCTCTTCTGCACTTTTGTGACCCGTTTTTTTCTTCACTGTACCTCTTCTCTTGATTCTTCTGTCCTATCAAAATAGGGCTTTTAGAACTGTATCAGCATTAAAGAAAGGGCCTGAGGCAGTACTGAAATCACTCTTCTTTGGGTTTTAGCATCCTTTGTACAAAGGCTGAGATAGCAAAAACCAAAAATCATTGCACATTTTCTGCGAGAACTAAACATAAAGACTTCTCACTGCTTTCCTAAGCCATGTCAATCTGTAGGAACACTGGAGGCCTTTTGGGAAAGGAAAATTAGGATAAAATACTTAATACATTTCTGTATTCTTCTGTGTCAAGCTTTTGACTGAAGATCGCCTTAAAAAGCAGAGTTGGGTTTAATAATGTTTTGTTCAGCACAGTTTCTCACAAATGTTTTTACTGAGAAAAGGATAAAATGGGACTATGTTTGCATTTCTAAACACACTTTCCTGTCCTAAAATATCTTGTAGTCATTAATGTATATTTTTGCAGCTGTACATTCTATGATAAAGACTTTCTTTTGGAAATCAGGGGCATTTTAGACTAAAGCAAACTTTGTTATTTAAGGGTAGGGTTTGGGGGGTCGTTTGTGTGTGTTTGTTCAGGTTTCTGGTTTTGGTTTTTGTGGGAACTCAAAATGTCTCTCAGACATTTTTAGAGGTTCCAGGCCTTGGTCAGAAGCATTCTAGACCCTGGCAGACAGCTGGAAACAGCTGTGATTTTGAGTTTGAGCCATGGAATGAATTACCAACTTTGGAGGTGGAACAAGCAGTCATGAAAGGTTAGATAGTATAGTATAAGTAATTACAAGGTATAGGGGAAATTTTTTTAGTATTGTAAAGGGGGGTTTTCACTTTGTACATGGGGGTCAGAAGTTCTAAGATGGAGGAAAGTGGGCTGATCCTGTTCTTCCTCCTTTTTCCTTACCTCCATGTTCCTGGTGATGTTGGCACTCACAGATTGGTTTAGAGTAGAAAAACACTTGGCAACGTAGGTAGTAGGTATTGGGGAATAATTGTAAACATGTTATACGTAATATATCTTATAAAAGATAGCAGCAACCCTGGGCGGAGAGGGAGACGAAGAAGACAGCAGATAGAGAGGATGTCAGGGTGTGTGTGTGCCTCTACCCAGGCCGCTGATCAAACAGCCACAGTCCAAGAACATAATCTGTTAGATAACTAGCAATAAACTGCCTTGAGACCGAACAGCTAAAGCCTGCGGAGTTTTTCTTTGGAAGCACGGGTTGGAGGAGGAATTTCACCACCATATGAGACCCCAGAGCAAGGCCGGGGTTCTCACAGGTTTTGTTTCATTTGGCTTGGTTTTATTTACACTGAGAGTATCAAAGAATAATGTGTAATTGTAGTTAGAAATTGTTACTTTTTAAAGAACAATTACTTTGAACTCTGGTTAACTATATTTATCTAGTGTGGTTCAGTATTCTTCAACCATTGTGTTTACAAAAACATTTAGAAATGTCTTGGTGAGAATTTTTGCTTTCGTATTTTAGCAGAAAGTAGTTTAGGCCACCGGTGAGACTTTGTTACCTTGCCCATGAGACATGGAAGGAATGCTTTTGTGTTGTCCTGACAAGTTCTTTTTGTGTATTGTGGTGCTTTTACCTATGTCCTAGGGCTACTTTTGTTCCCTTTTTGGTTGGGTTTTTTTTTGTTAGTTTTTTTTTTTTTTTTTTTTTTTTTTTTTTTTTTTTTTTTTTTTTTTTTTGAAAGCTGCTTTTTCTAGTCTTGTAACACCAAGAAAAAAGGAATGTAAATGGCACTTGCAGTGCTAATTGTCAGACTAACCCTCATTGTTTGCATGTGCTGCATTCCTGGAGGCAATGAACTGATGTCTTCAGTCTGTTGCTTTTTGAGATTGTTTGATGCTTTGTGGTTTACAGTGATGAGACCTGAAAATAATGATGTGAGCCCTGTAGTCATACCAACACTGAACATTTTCCAGGTGTTCCTTCTAAGTTTATTTCTGCTGAACTGCATTCCATAGAAAAACACATCCTAAAGAAACATCTATGTGTTAAATTCTGAGACTTGCTGTAAGTATAGATTAATTCTTCTGTAATCACTTGGATCATACATTATCATATATAGCAGTCATACAAAAATAATAGAGCTGTTCTTCACAAAACTCTTTTTCTGAGGAATGACAGCAAAGTTTTCTGTATTTTATTAAAGCAAATCAACTACAAGTACAAATGAGTACATACTTTGATATCAGTACTTTAAGATACCAAAATATATGCAGCTGATTAGAGATCATTCTTTGCAAGAAATTAGAAGTAAACCCAGACCTTTGCAAATATTTGTCCTTGAATGATATATACTCTCTAGAAATTGGATACATTAAAATTATATTTTAGCAACAGTACAGTTATGGTAATTTGCTGTGTTCACAGAATATAAAAAAGCAGACTAAATAGATTCTCAATACCTTTTGGTATTGGATAAAGGTCGGTGTTATATATGCAAGAATATAATTTTAAATGCTAATGCCATTATGTTGTCACAATTATTTTAGCTTGAGGAGAGTAATAAATGAAAACTGATTTATCAGGGATTTTACAGTCAGGAGATGTAATTTAACCATAAGTGAGGTAATTACAGATAGATCTCAAGCTGCATGTTATGAGCTTATAATTAGTCTTCTTTGAATAGCAGATTATGAGACATACTTGTTTTGTTACATATTGCCATTCAAAATGTCCTAGTATTAAAAATAGACAATAATGTTATTACTGGCATATTGTGCTTGTGTAACTGTGGGCATCAGCATGTCTGAAATAAATACAGAATTTCTGCTCATGCTCATTTATGTATTAGAACCTGTAAAGTGTCTCATTTTTGTATACAGAAAAACATTTGTATATAAATGGATTTAAAAATAAAAATATATTATATACGAGGTTTTAGAATATAAGAAATTATATGGAGGTCCCTTTTGGAGGGGGGCTGTACATAAGTAAATGGCATTATTAAAGCAACACCCTGCAGTGTGGATTAGTTTGATTCATTTGGTGCCTTTGGGGGCAAGTAAAAAGAGAAAGAGCTGGAGTCTGAGGAGTGATGATGTAATTTGGGGCACACCAAATTACATCGCTGGGAGACTGAAGATGCAGTGGAGGAGAAGGTCAGTAGTGTGTGAGAGGGGTTAGGTGGGGTCCTCCCAAAAATAAAAGTGCTGGGCTGCTGTCCAGCGCAGTTGGACTCGTCCTGTGCCTTCTTTGGGGATCAGGGTTAGGGGCTGAAGAATCTGGGCTCTGATGTCTTGGGGCACCCCAAGGTCCCTAGGAGAGGGAGGCACACTGTGGTGGGGGAGCGGGTGGGTGGCAAGCGGGGGGGGGGGGGGGGGGGGGGGGGGGGGGGGGGTCACGCTGGGTGCCGTCCCGCAGAGGGACCCAAAGCTGCCCCAAAATTCCCTGGGAGGGGTGGGTATAGAATACTAAAACCTTTCAAGTGTTTAGTTTTTATAGCTATTGGTAAAGAATAGGAATTTGTCTCAATTAATTTGGAAAGAAGCCCCAAGCAGCCCCAGGTGTGAGCTGTGAGGATGATGAGGAGGGGCGGCTCCTGCCGGGGGTAGGTTGTTTTGGGGCGAGGGTTTGCCTCCGCTGGCTTTTGCACGGAGCTGCTGTAGAAGAGGAGTTTATGGGGGGCTCCCGGGACTGTCTCCTGGAAGGACGGTGGGCGCTTCGGACAGGGTCCGGGGGGATCACCTGGATCCCCACCTGGATACGTGGAGCATTGCTCAAAGGAGGAGCCGAGGGACAAACCTTTGTGCCGAGAAGCAGTGGCCAAACAGGTGAGCCGGTGTGCCTTTGTAGCGGGGACTTTTCTCCTTTCCCTTTGAAATTTCGTCATCCTGAGGTTCAAATGGAGGGGGCTGCCCTGTTGTCCCCCCTTTTAAGGGGTTTGGATTGAGGTAAAATTCTCCCTTTTGCCATCATTTGAGGGAAGCCGCTTCTTTTCTTCTCTGCTAGGGGACGCAGTTGAAGGGGAGCCCACGTTTCTGTGTCCTTGTTGGGGTGAGGTGAGCGCCGGAGCGTGGCGTCAGTGTCGGGGCTTCAGAGGAAGGGAGCTGCAGCCGTGGCAGCGCTGGCAGGGCGGGGATCG